GGTCCATCTGTCCAATCCATGGCTCTCCAATTTGGAGACAAGGATGTCGTGCAGGCCAGTATCAAATGCTTTGCACAAGCCCAAGTAGTGGACTTTAAGTGCCATCTTTTTCCCTAAATCAGTGTTTTCTTTTTTTCTTCCCAGATTTCCTCTCAGACACTACAGTTGCCCCAGAAGAGTAGCAGCGCTGTGAGACACAGCCCTGTCTGAAAGGACATTGTTGTGAGTGTGTAACAGAGGTTTGCCCAGAGCTCTTGACCCAGTACGTGGTCTTGTCTCAATAAAAATCATTGACACTGACTGTAGGCATCTTCCTATGATTTGTTGTTGCCCTCTGAGGCTGCCAAGGGGAAAGGAAGAACAACTCTGTGCTGTGTTCAGATAACTTTTTTCCTTTTTTTCTGTCTCTCAAACATGAGGAGGTAGGAGTGGGGCTTGGGGTTTTTGTGGGGGGGGAGGTGTTTTTCCTTCTGCGGTGTGTGTGGGAGGTGTACAGGCTTAGAACGGAGGAGAATGTAGCATTTCCTCTCTGCCCCTCTCCCCTGTAACCCTGCTGTTGCACAGCAGAGTGCAAGGGCCAGCTGCCGCTGTGCAGTGACTTAAGAAACAGCCTTTGAACGTACTCGCCGTTTCCCCTCCTTACCAGCACTCCCTCTCCTGCTGGGCTGCGGAGGCTTTGACATCATCCTGCTCCCTGGTACAAAGTCATGTCTGTTGCCCATCGGATGTGGCACGTTACAGAGCAAAGCTCCTTTGAGGTCCCTTCAGACCTATTTAGCGGTCACAGACTGGGCTGGTAGCACACCACCAGCTCTGCGAGTGAGTCAGCCTAACCGTGACGTGAAGCCCAGCTGGTGGTGAGGGCTCTGGAGCCAGGAGGTGGTTGCCATGCTGTTGCTGGGCTCTGGTTTGGTTGTTGTCACCTTCTGCTCTTCCGTAGTTGGTGCAGAGGTGTTGCAGAGCCTGCTGGGGTCTCAGTGATCTAAGGGCACGTGAATCACAGGGCAGAGCCTGGAGCAGAGATAACTCTTCTGGTTTTCCTTTCTTAAAACCACTCTAACCTCAGGTTTTGCCTGTTTTCCCAAGCAATACAATAGACGTTGGACAACTAGTGGGTTTTTTTTCTCACGAATGACACTAGAATGTCTGTTTTGATTCTAAAATGACTGTTAGACTGCCAGGTTACAGGAAAGAGGATGAAAAGTTGAGTCCTGAAGTTCACAGAAGAGACACACCTGGTTTAAACACCCCTGCAGTGGAAGCGATGTGCAGCTGACACGCCTGGTACCCCCATAATTAATTGTCCTTTTGTCCATGAGAGAAGGAGAAAGCCAGTTTGTCAGCGCAGACGGCCCACTTGGTCTGGTAAGAGGATGTTCTTTGTTACGTGTTAACTCATACAGACTGTGGCATTCGGGTAAACGAGGGAAGAATCTTAACAACCTCTTGAGAGACTCTGGAGTTTCTGCTCCTGTTCACAAGGTGCAGAGCCACAGGGTAGGCAGGGGGAGGCATCGGTTCTTTTTGATCTCTCTTAAGGCCTTTGCCGTTGGCACTGGGGATCCAGTTTGAGTGGTCCTGATATGGAATGGGACAGCCCGTTTCTAGGTGTCCCCTCCTGACATCTCTCCCCCACTGTGTTCCAGGCAGCAGTTGTGCAGGACACCGACTTCTGCCAGCATGGGAAGGAAGAGCAGGATTCCTCCAGCTACTCTCTCCTTTCCTGTGTGCGGCATGCCGATGGCTAGCTGCTTTATCCCCTCGGGGACTAACTCCCAAAGATGATGACAGAACTTTGGAGGAGTCCTGGGTCTCCACCATGGAAAAGGAGAGCTGAAGCTGCTGCGTTGCTGCTGTGGTACCTGTTTGCGGAGTAAGTGCCCAGAGGCAGGGATGCTGCAGTGATTTTTGAACACAAGCAGCGGGGTTTATCTGTCTGTGTTCCAAACCCTAGCTGGTTTTAGGCAGCGGTTTGCCTGAAAGGGAATGGCAGCAAAGTCTTGCTCTTCCCCACTTTGAGGGGAAGTGAGAGTGCGGCTACAGGCCCGTTTCAGCGTCTCAGACTGAAGCACTGGTACCCGGATTCAGGGGCAGGTCTTGCCCTGCAGACGGCTGGGACTGGAGGGCAGGGCAGGCTGGCGGTGACCAGGGGTGGCTTTGGGTGGGAGCGTTGTGCCTCCCTCTTGACAGCGGGTGCGTGGGGGGAGCTAAAGCGTGCTTGGTGCTGGTGTGTGCTCTGCTCTCCCCACTTGTGCGAGGACACTTGACTAGCAGGGCAAGTGCTCTCTCTTGGATCCGAGTGACAGCTTTTCATCTCCGCTTCCTGTGGTTTCTCTCTGCAGAGCAACGTGGGAAGCTCTGCAGTGTCTGCAGGGCAGCGTGCTCTGATGTTAGAACTGCGCACAAGAGCTCAGCAGTGACCTCGTAGCTGGGAGGACCCTTTGGAGAGGCTGGTGCGCTCATCTGCAGTTTTTGCATGAGGTGACGATCTCAGCTCTGGTAAGTTAACTTTCTATCTACATTTATAATGAGTCTTTGCGGGGCAGAAAACCAACCTGAGTACCAGTGCTATGAGGGTGTTAAGCTAACTGCTACTGCCGGCTCACTGTCACCTTTTTTTTGTTGGTTGGTTTTGGGGTTTTTTTTGATAGTTGCAGTGCAAAAATACCTGCTGTTGATCCTTCTGCAAATGTTTCCCAACTTCTGGTTACACTACAAACCTGTCACGCTTACGGGCTTGTTGTCGCATCCAGTTCTGAGCAGCCTGGGTTCAGCCTGCCAGACGGTAGTCTAGGAGTAGATGGACTGGCTGACTCTGCAGTTGGCACAGAGAACTGCTGTGGGGTTTTTGCTTTGTTTTTCAAATCCCAGAGTGACTGTTGGTGTAGTGGTACAAGCGGCTTCTGTGCCGTTGTAGGGCTTTGTAACCGTTCTGCCAGGGATCTGAGCAGAAGCCATTTCAGGCAGCCCTTCAGCGAGACTCGCTGTGCCATCTCGCTGCAGTCCATCAGCACTGAGCGTAGAGACTCGTGTCCAGCTCCTACAGAATCTTGGGATGACGTGTGTGCTGTTTGGGAAACTCCTTTGTGTTTGTTGTGGAGCCGTTCCCTGACAGCGCCTCACTTGTCTTGTGAGGAGCGGTAGCTCACGGGTCCCCTTTGCCGTCCTGCCCCGTTAATGATTTTACAGGCCTCTGCCTTATCTTCCCCCAGTTGCCACACTACACGTGGAACCCGGAGAAGATGGGTGTTTGGTGGCTCTTGCTCTGGCAAAACTCGGAGATGTCGTTCCAAATCCTGCGCTGCTTAACGTAATGGCTTGGCCATGCCTGCTGTTGTAGTGCTTCTCCTGTGTGTGTGTACAAACCCTTTGCTATGAGGTGAAAGACCCGTGTAAGCAGATACGTATGCTCGCCTGCTTAAAACGAAACCATTCTTTCCCTTTCTAATCTTCCAGTTATCACCTTGGGTGCTTTTGACTTCGTTAGATAAACAACTGTAGGGAGGAAGTGCGATCTCTGAGTTTCCTTTGGAAAGTACCCAACAACCTTTGTCTTCTTGTGTGATCGGTGGCTCAACGTCGGGAACGTCGTGCTTATTGCGGCTGGTTTAACGTATCCGCCGCCTTTAGGGGCTGCTGGTGGGGTGTCCGTGTTTGGGTTAGGCACGCGGGTTTCTTGTACGCTGGGTGGGGAGAAGCAGCAGCGCAGCGGGCGTGCGGTTGTTGCCTACGTGTAGCGATATTACAACCCCTGCAGCCCCTCTTTCCCGTATTTCAAACACATAAACTAGTCCTTTCTGCTCCCTTTTTTTGAGGCGAGCGGTGCTTTCCCGCTGCCACGTGCCTGCGGGGTAGGTTTAGGGTGCTGTAAATTCACCCAGCGGCTTACACCGAGCCTTCCCACTTGGGTGAACTTCAGCTGAGGAGTGGAAGTGCGGGCGGGAAGGATGGAAAAAGCCCGTTTCTCTCAGATGGGTCTGTATGTGCCTGTTTTCAGGCCTTGTGGTGACCCAGGGCTGCGTCCTGCACTACGCACTCCTGCACGTGTTTGTTCCAAGAGACCCGGCACATCTTGTCTCCAGTGCTGCACCCTTCTGTTTACCGCTGTGTCACAGCTGTCTATGCCCCTGGATCACTCCTAAACGGAGGTGGGGATGGCACTGCAGCTTTCTGACTGGGTTTTAACAGCTCGGCGTGCATGCCAGCGGCCTGTTTCGGTTTACGCCTTCGTAACTTTGCCAGGCTCCACGCAGCTCTTTATAAAACTGCCGCAGCGAGGTTAGAGCAGTTCAGTCATCGGGGTGTGGAGGGAACTGTCACGCTGGAGTTACCCAGAAGGCAGAGGGCAGGAGAGTAACGTCTTACATCTCTCCGAGGTGACACCGGAATTCTGGTGGGGCTTAGGAACAGGAAATGAATTACAGGATCTCCAAAGGTATGTCACTGCTGAGATTCCCCATCCCGCTTCAGTTGCTGGCCAAAGCTGTAGCCTTCCACGTGTCTTTTTTTGGGGGGTTTGGGGGATGAATTGCTACTTCTGTTAATTCAGTATTGTCATCTTGTCATCATTTTAATGGCAGTAAATAACACCTACTGCATAAACTTCACATGCTTGTGGTTTTTAAATATTTTATTGTCCCTCACAGCAACACCACTTTCCATCTACAAATCCCAAGCACGGACTGTGAACCACAGGCTTCCCCAGGCCTAACGCCGCGGAGCGGTGCCGCTTCAGCTCCTGCCCACTCGAGGTGAAATACAACTCAAGAACCTCCTGAGGTCAGGGGTGGCTTAAGACTTTCACCCCACGTGGGATATCCCTGCACTCCAGCAACCATGGCAGGCATTTCCTGGGCTGAAGGAGTCTCCAACGAGACGGTTGACCGTGCCAGTTCAGAGTTCAGCTTGGAAGCAGATTTCCAGTATTCCTTGTTTACTGTCATCTACAGCGTCGTCTTCGTGCTGGGACTGACAGAAAATGCCTTAGCTCTGTACCTCCTGTCCTGCCGGGTAAAGCACGCTTCCCATTCCTACGTCTACATGATTAACCTGGCTCTGGTGGACACCCTGTTTGTTTGTGTGTTGCCTTTTAAAATTCACTACCATCTGAATCGGAACGACTGGGTCTTTGGCGACGTGGCCTGTAGGATCACGGGGACGTTGTACTACATCAACATCTACCTAAGCATTGCCTTTTTCACCTGCATTTGCGTCGATCGCTACATTGCAGTGCTGCACCCCTTCAGGTACATCCAGATCAGGGTCGTGCATTACGTCGTGGTGGTCTCAGTCCTTTGGGCGGTTGCTGTGTGCGTCACGGTTCCACTTATCCTTGGAGGTCCCCTCCACAACAGGGGCGCGAGGAACACGACAGCGTGCTTTGAGAACTTCGCTACCAGCAGCTGGACTTACCGCATGGCGCCTTACAACATCCTGGCCTTAGTTTTTGGGTTTGTCATCCCGTTTTCCATCATCCTGATCAGCTACCCTCTCATTGCTAAGAGGATCTCCCAGATCAAACACAGCATTCGCAAGAGGAAGGCCCTGAGCACCATCTACATCATCTTGCTCATTTGTACGTTGTGTTTTCTCCCCTATCATCTCACCCACCTGCTCCACTTTTTAATGAGGATCCAGGTCATCCAAAACGGGTCATTCGCCAACCTGATCTACAAAATGCGAAGGGTCACCTTAGCCCTCGTGAGTTTCAACTGTTGCCTTAACCCGCTCTTGTACTACTTCACCTCTTCCAGCAAGACGTGGCACTTCAACCTCAGGCTCAGATTCAGGTCGAAAACGGTGTACACCATCTGCGACCAGTCGCTGGGGGAGTTCACCTATGCGTATAAAGTACAACAGAGACCCGGAATTAAAAGCCGCAGGAGACGGAATCAACCGATCTACTCCAAGTAAGTACAGCAGTCATCTTTCCAGCTGTTTGCAGACAAGCCGTTCTTCCAGCGGGCGGTTGTTAGGTCAAGGTGACGCTGGGGGGAAGTGCCTAACAGCTGGCTGTTTCGATTAGCCCAGCGTGGGGGGGAGCAGTGTTCTCTGACGGTGGTGGTTTGGTCTCCTTTTGTTCAGCGTTGGGACTGATTGGAGAACGCAGGCTCTCCTGGCAGTGCAGCCCAGGAAAGGGTTACTGGAAAGCCGCCAGCCTCCTAAGGCAGGGTGGATCCTCAGTCCTGCCTGGCCTTTCCCAATTTTGGAGGGATCCTGTGCTTTCTCCCTGGGGGCAGGCTGTAGGCAGCTGGGTTCACACACTGCTTGCTGCCTACATTCCACGGCCAAATAAGGGCTTCTCCTCCCCGCTGGGGAAGGGTTGCTTGGCTTCCCGAGGAGCGTTTCAGCACAGGGTTCCCAGCGCTGCAGCTGGACGGCCCTTAAGGCAGTTCTGAAGGAAACAGACCCACGTGCTCACCAGGCAGCTAACCGCCGGCAGGACCAGCAGTGGGCAAGCTCTTCTCCCGGCACGGGCACCGGGGAAAGTTACTGCACAACGCCCTAGGGCCGCGCTGGCCTCTTCAGATGTCACCGTGTTTGTATCCCAAGTCGTATCTGACCTGTGTCACCCCCTCTTGCGTTCACAGAACCACGCAGTTGCCGAGAACTGAGCTTTTCACCCCGTGAAACACACGACTGGAGAGAATTTATCGTTTGGGTTATCAGTCACCAGCCAACCACTCTCCTGGCCGACAAACCTGCTTCGAAGCCAGCGGTTGACGTAAGAGGATGTGATTTTGGTAACAGATACACAGACTGACTGCTCGGTTCCTTCCCCTGCCGCCCCCAAACGTTGTAAAGGAGCATTTACCGCTGGCCCCGAGGCACACCGGTCTGCGGGAATGGAGGGGACGTGTCGGGGGGCTTGTTTAACAGGGGACAAGGGGTGCCTGACTGCGGCCGGGCGCTAGATCGGCGTTTCCAACCGCGCAAAATGCAGGCGAACGGCCAGGCTGGGGGTCCCAGGTTATGCTCTGCTGTTGGCTTCGAACAAGAACTGCGCAGGCCTTAGGGGAGGCAGGGGGTGGGCTCCCTGTGGCAGAACTGCGCAGGGGGATAACTAACGGGGTGTCTGGACGAGGGAGTGACGTCTCCTTGCACGGCAACAGACGGTGCAGCTTCTGGGGGGGGATTACATTTGTTAGGATAGGCCTGACTGCGTTACGCTGCGCGCGGTTTGAATCATGTCACACGCGCGCTGGTTACTAACGGTCCCGTTCTGTTTTACTCTTGGTGCGGTGGAACTTTTTAAATCTCAGTGAGAAAACCTCCTTAAACTTTTCAAATATTGAAAATAACGATTCCTGTGTTCCTGCAAGAAGTGCCTCTCGTTGCATTTGTAAACTGGAGCTGATGAAAGCCTCTGAGGGAGGATCAGGACCAATTAGTATTTTACCTTTCATGAGATCCTGCTAATTCTGTCCCATTTATAGGCTGTGGAAAAGATTCCCAGCGCTGGAGGGAATATTCTTTCACACTAAGCACAATTTTTATGTCTGGACAGAGGAAAAAGGCTTGGAGCAACCTGGTCTAGTGCAAGGTGCCCTGCCCATGGCAGGGGGGTTGGAACTGGATGATCTTTAAGGTCCCTTCCAACCCAAACCATTCCATGGTTCTATGACTGTGTCGAGGAGCGCAGCTCTCTCGTGGGCTCGTCAGCAAAACTGTTACGCTGCTGGGTCAACAGGCTAATTAGGGCTTGATGCTCCTGCCTCCGTTACACTTTCAAAGCTTCACAGTTAACATGTAAAGCTGCCTCACTCTGCTCTGCTGAGGTTTTATCTGTTACCTTCTTGTGTCAGCAACTCCGAGGTTGTTCCGCAGGACTCTAACCCAGGCTGCAGCGGGGGAAGATCACGGTACGGCTGAAGAGTGCGTGCGGTCACTGCAGCCACGGGACAAACGCTGTCATGAATTCCTTTATTAACACAAAACCAGAAAAACCCGCGGACAATGTAAACAAAAGAACACGTAAATCTGTGAACCACTGCTGCGCTGTTGCTCACGGTGTACTCTGTGGCAGCCCTTTCTTCAGCAGGGATGTGAGGTAGCTGCCCAGTTCTTCATCCTACAGAGAATAGAGAGACATGGGATGAAAGCAATCTTCTACCTGACCTTCCCGTTTGGGGCAGTGAGTGATGCTGGTACCTAGAAACAGACTGAAACAGTTCTGTCAAAATCTGGTGTTGGAAGTGTTCAAAAAGGGAAACAGGTGGAGGTAGCACAAAGGCATTTCTGGGTGTTCTTTCAGCGTATTGGTGTAGAACTCCCATGCGTCACAGTACGTGTGTGGCCCTGAGGGGTGTCTCTTGAGGAAAATGTCCACTTTTCTTGAAAGCAAAGAATAAAGAACCACCGATTAGCGTGGTTTTGCTTGGCCCTCAGAAGTCAGTTCCTTGCTGTAAAGACAGCATTTGAAAATACAGCCACAGATACTTTTGAGAGGAAAAAAACATGACCATGTCTAATGTCACCACGGTTTGGCGTTAGCTAGCTTTCTGCTTGTTGCTTCAGGTTTTACACTGAAGAAGCAGACTGCAGAAAAGCTCCACAGGCTGTATGGCAGTGGTGGTACAGCCGAGAGTGTGGCAGCTGGATACTACAGTGTTCTCAAAACAGACAGAACGGTAATTAGCCATAACGCTATGAAGCGTAACTACTCCCAATCAGTTGCCTCCAGTTCACTGGTCCCAGAGAAGACCCGACTCAGCACAGCTCCTGTAAAATGATTTGTACCAAATCCAAAATGGTGAAGGAAACGGCAGCAACTCAGCTCATCTTCTTCCTCAAAACCAGAGAAGACGCGCCCTCACAACAGCAACCCAGGCTGTAGGTCTGTTTTGGATGCAAGGAGCTGGGATCAGAGTTGCCCGAAAAATGTCTTTCAAGTATTCCTACCTGGTAAGTCCAGGATACGAGGAGAACTTTGGTTCCTTGATCCTCTGAGTGTGCCGTGGCTTGGATAAGAATGGACTCCACTGTTATGGAGCCATCAGGGAGGTGCTGCACTGAATAATCTTTCAGGACCCTGGCAGGAGAGAAGGTACGTGATTTATTTTGAATGGGACGTGTACAAGCTTTGGTAGTGTCTCTGAGCCAGCACCTACTGCCCAAGGCAGGCAGGATGGGGCCGAGTCATAGCTGGCTTACACTAATCAGGTAGGATTCCCTGGAGGAATCTATTTCTGGCTTTTGTGATAGCTGTAGCTCCCGGCTGACCCCTGTTCATCTGAGCAAAGGACGAGTCGCAGAATGGACCATCTGCCTCCAGAAGACGACAGCTTTTAAGGTCCATCTGCTGCTAGGTTTGAGTAACTTTAAGAGGTATCTCAACCTTGTGCTTGATGGTTTCCCTGCCAGCAACTGTGCCAACTCCAGCTAGAAGCAGCAGTGACAGCAGCAAACCAACAGAACACGGATTTCGGCCGGACTGCTGCAGCTTGGCAGAGACCATCAGCTTGTTGGGCCGATTACCAGCCTCTGCCACTGCAGTGTAACCACTGCTCTGGTTACGCGCGCTGTACAGGCTAAAATCCAGAGCAGCTGGATCTTCTGGGCTGCAGAGAATTTTCTCCTAATAATTCCCTGGGGCTAGTCTGTAAGGCCAAAAGGAGGGGGGCGCTTGTACTACCTGTATGAAGACCGATAAGCCGAAGTCCAGCCCTGGGGAGGATGGCAAACACGGACTCACCCTTTGAGATGGTTATACACACGAAGCACCGTCTCGTGTTCTTTCCGCGGATCCTGAATGTGAACACGGCAGGTGAAACGCAACTGATGCTCTGCAAGGCCCAGCTCCTTCAAAGCCTGCTCGGGGGAAACCAGACGGAAGCTCTGCAGAGGAAAAGTACAGTTCCATTAGGAGCCGTTTCTTTGTGCTTCCTGCAGTTCTGTTCTTCCTCTGTGGTCGGCTGCACACAGGGATGTGTTTCGCACTCAGCAGGTAAGATCATTCCTTTCCAGCCTCTGAAACATCTCAGCACATTTCAGTTCCCACTGCCAGCAGCAACGGCCTGAGCACGATGGACAGCAAAGGTACAACAAGATGACCTGAAGAATCGCACCAATTCTTTGTTTCCCATAATGGAAGTTGCTCTCTGAATGGAAGTTGGTTTAACCTCTTTTCCAGGGGGAATGATTTGTTTAAACATGAAGATGAGGTTACAGAGCAAGAACTCCTCCTGTGCCACCTTCCTTCCTCATATAACCAACGGTGGTTACCGACCACAGGCTGCTGCTAATTCTTTTGACTGCTACAGGCACAGCGAGCGAGAACCACGTCGGATTCGCAGGCCACAAACCGCAGCCTCCTCGGAATGCCTGTACCTCCACCCCGTAGGCTGCAGGGGGCCAGGGCGAGAGAGAGACTTGGAACAGAAGCAGCTCTTCAAATTCATCCCTTTCCTGTGACTTTGTCACCGTTCGTGAGACCCAGCAGTAAAAGTTCTGCCTCCGTGACACCCAGCTCATGAACTGTGAGATACTAATTCTGACGTTATGGGACTAGTGAAGGCCATCAGTCAAGGCAACGGACAAGCCAAGACTCAGAATAATACTCCCAGGTATGCCCTTACTGGGCTCCTTCCGAGAGCCTAGGGCTGCTCCCCTTTACCATAGCTCCTTGTTCACCCAGACGTCACGTAGGGCAGCAGAACAACACACTCATTCAGAGGACTAAGACAAACACACAGAATTTTTTACTTACGTTGTCCTTCATAATTAACGTGCCGTGCATTAGCTTTGGCTTCTTGGCATCTGGGAGGAGACCTAAACCAAGGCCAGTGGAAAAGGATGACATGGTTAATGGTGATGGGCTTCTCACACAGACATCAGCTACACGACTTGAGAAATGGGATTTCTGTGTCCCTGCTGCGCTTCAGACACGACTGTTTACATCTTTATTCCCCTGT